GGAGGGATTGAGCACAAAAGAAAGAGAACTCATGGATATGAACAACAGCAGGAGGGGCATGGGTGGAGGAGGAAGAGGGCAGGGAGGGGATAAATGGTGATGGAAAAACAATAAAATAAAATAAAGGAAAAAAAGAGAAATCTTAGTTTTTTTGATTCAAAGAATATCCACATGACAACCATGCCACTTCAGAATGGAGCAGTAGCTGGGTACCAGCTCATACCATTTCCCCACTTACCGCTTTAGAAAGATGCAAGTTCATAGCATCGACTTACTATTTACTACTTTAATAGCAATATCCTAAGTCACATGAAAATCAGGACCCAAATCTTTGATAATCCGATCTTTGTGAATAAGCATTTCCAGATTGAAGGCGTCCCGTGCAGTATGAGCAATGAGGCCATTCACTCTCACCCACACCATACACATCAGCCACACCCACAGAAGTACTTGTGCACCATTCCCAACACAACCCCAAATCCACTTGGACAAAGGCAGTCACAGTTCTGAAGACTTCTTCACCAATGGTATTCTTGGCAAGTCTTAGCAAGCCAAATGGCAAATATTTATCAGTAACTTGAAATAATTGGAAACATCTGTGACTCCATCCATTTGACGGTACATATTTTATCTTCAGAAATTTTTACCACAATATTTCCTATTGTCAGTGCCAGAGAAAAACAGGTCAGCATGTGCATCCTTCCCTATTTACTAGCTAAGGAATCGTGGGGAAGGCTGTTAACCTGTTCTGCCCTCACAGCACTGTTACACGTTAAAGAATTTAATTCCTGCTGGGCAGGGCATGGCTCAGCGGTTGAGCATCGACCTAGGATCCGAGAGGCTGAGGTTTGATTCCCGGTCAGGGCACATGCCTGGGTTGCGGGCTCGATCCCCAGTCAGGGGCGTGCAGGAGGCAGCCGATCAATGACTCTCTCATCATTGATGTTTCTATCTCTCTCTCTCCCTCTCCCTTCCCTTCTCCCTAAAACCAATAGAGATATATTTTTAAAAAAATTAATTCCTGTGAACACGTTTTGTAAACCATGCAGTTGCAACCACATGCTTGAAGAAATCGGCTTAATTTTTTTAGGGTGCACAACACCATCTCTCTAGTTCATTTCCTCCTAGTCTCCCCATACATATTTATTTGATCTATTTTATGTGTGGGTTATTTTTATTTTTGGTTTTATTAAAACTGTGCACACCTGCATTCCTTTTGAATGTGCTATCTGATGCTAACTAGGGGAAAATGCTGCTGGAGGGGGGAGAGTTCACACTCTCGCACCTGGCTCGTCATTAGGGGTTCTGGCAGTCCTTTCTGGGCTGGAAGCGGTGTGATTAGCAGCCCACCTTCCCAATTATACAGACAACTCCTCTTCCTTTGGCTGCAGATAAGAAATATCTTATGTATGTGCAATGCAAATGTGGGCTTTGTGAATGCTAATTTCAAAACCAGCTCGGCGTTGATTGGCAGAAAACTGAACAACGGGGTGACAGGCATGCCAGGGGTCAGGAGCCTGTGAAAGAAAGGCTTAGTGAAGGTGGAGAAAAAGAGCTAGAGAGGTTTGGAGTTAATCAAGAGCAGTGCTGGAAGAGCAGCAGTTTATGAAAGCAGATGTAAGCCAGATATCTTGGAAGAGAGAGCAGGTTCAAAGACTGGGCTAAACAATGAGAAGAGTGAGAGGAGCTGACTTTCCAAACAGCAGGATGCCCTAATAAGCCAGGGTTATGCCACAAAAATACACAAACTGTATTTTCTGTCTATCACATCCCTGAAAAGTGCCTATTTGCACCTGGCTTGAATCCTTAGGAACCTCACCCCATTTTTGACTGTGACATCCTCAAGGTCATTTGTTTCTCTGGATGCCAGCAGAGGCCACGCATTCAGGTAGTGTCCACTGGACTGGACTGGACTGAGCATTAGATTGTCAGGGGGATGATTTGGGTAACACAAAAATGGAAGGAGCAGATTCAAGACCCGGTTTCAGTCTTTAATCATGACAGCAGAGCGATCAGCATGAGCACAGGAAACTGTAGTTGGAAGGCTTCCATTAACTAGGTGAAGTAAATTGTTCAAGACAAGCCCAATTTTGATTTGCATTCGAAAACGAATTAAGATTTGCTAAGTTTTCTGCACAACAGATACTTTCAGCCCAAGGCTGACTAGACAAAAGCAAGGCCAAAGACAGAAAGGATGTTGAAACTTCTCCAAGCAATTGGCCTGGGCACAGCGTTACTAAATTGCTCTTTGGTGATGCAAGTTGGCATTGCAAAAGGTGCCCCCTGGACAGAAGAAGAGGTGGGAAGGGGAGAGGTAAAAATGCCACATCCTGTGATAGCTTGTTCAAACCATTTCTCCACTCAGCTGGGGGCAATGCAGACAGAATTCAGAGCCAGTAGCTTGAAATATCAGTTACATCTGCTCTCAGGGACGCTCCAACCATCTTCTTTGTCCTGTAGCCACTTTGCCTGTACAGATGGTTACTTATGTAAAAATAATTTTTCTTTGGGCAGTATATAAACCTCAACATATACTTCCATGTCCAAATGTATTTTTTAGAAAATTACATGTCTGCCAAATTTTTACGTGGGGTTTAATAAATCTGTGAATTATACATACACACATTATTTCAACTAACTCTCTGAAATATAACTACCTATGCATATAAACTCTATCTTTATAGCATCCTTGACACATAGATAGAAGCTTTCCAATATGTTTGGGTACAGTACAAAAGGAAGTTCCAATAGAAGGAATATTTTATGTACAACCTCCCTCCAACACATATATGAAGATGTTTTATCTGTCGACTAAAACCAGAAATATTTTACTTATCCCATGTGAGAATGAGTACGTCATATGAATGGATTTTTTAAAAAAATATATCTTTATTGATTTCAGAGAGAGGAAAGGAGGGGGAGAGAGAGAGAAACATCAATGATGAGAGAGTCACTGATCGAGCCCACAACCCGGGCATGTGCCCTGACCGGGAATCGAACCCCGACCGCCTGGATCCCAGGTCGACGCTCAACTGCTGAGCCACGCGCGGCTGGGCTCTGAATGGATTTTAAGTAATGAAATGACTACTTCCATCCCATCAAATTTAACTAGATAATCAAATTCAAGATAATCAAAATGAACAATTTTAGAGTTTAAACATATTATAGAAAGGTTTGTTTATTAAGAAGTGTCTCAGTCTGGACATTTTGAGAGAGATCACTCAGCACTTTAGCTACTTTCAAATATCATAGAAACGATTTATGCTGGTTTCTAAATATGTACAGTTCTCCCTTCTTTCTGGCCCTTTTGTGACTGGGTAGGCCTACGTGACTACTTCTGGACAATGAACTGTGAGCAATGAGCTTCTCCTCCCATGGAGGAGCATCTTTTTGCTTCAGATCTATCTTTGCTCTCTGGCATGGCAACCCATGATGACTCAGATGGTGGCTGCTCTACCACCTCGTTTCTTTAGTGACAACAGTAGTGGAATTTCCTGCTGATTCAGAAGAATAAACTTTTGTGGTTTTTAGTCACAGAGATTTGGAAAGTGTTTACTAGCACAGCATACTTAGCCTATTGTAATATATATAATAAAACATATATAAATGAAAATATATGTGTATTGTGTATGTATATTCCTCATTTAAAAAAATCTAATAATCTGCCTGGCCAGTGTGTCTCAGTGGTTGACTGCTGACCCATGCACCCATGCATCTTGAGGGTTTGACTCCCAGTCAGGGCACATGCCTGGGTTGTGGGCTCTCTCCCCACAAAGGGGAATGCAGGAGGCAGCCAATTATGATGTTTCTCTGTCATCAATGTTTCTATCTCTCCCTCTTCCTTCCTCTCTAAAATCAATAAAAACATATTTTAAAATATCTAATAAACATATTGGCTATATAATTGGATCAGTTATATATATGAGTTAATTAAATACACACATGCTCACACGTTTTTTAAATTCCAAAAAAAATTTGTGTGAACTAATTGGTGCCATTCTACCCAGAACCTATGTCTTGTTAATTAAGAATTGTGAAATAATATCATTCCCAAAGCAATTCATGAAGAAAAATGTAAAAAGTATATCCTACTTGCATTATTTGCTGTTAACAATTTTAAGATTATGCACATTAATTGCAGATCTACATGGAGTCTTAGAAAAATATATGTGGATGGGCACATATAGATCTATAATAAATAAATGAAGACATGTATAATAAAGTTGCCTTAACTTTATAAAGCCCATTTAATTATTCATTTAACCTTAGTAATAGGTTTTCCTGAGAAAGAGATATGTTATTTATCTTACCTCTTTGTCATAGTGATACAGTGTAAAATAATGTTTTATATAACATAGGCATGTATTATACAAATATGTTCTACAAATACGTTACACAAGTATGTTACACAAATACGAAGGACTTAGGGGAGTTCTTTATCAGTATAATACTGTGAAAAATGTGGGCAGATTGTCCTAAAACTAGAATCCATAGCAAAGCAGAATTGTTTTGAAGGGGGGCAGGGATAAAAGGTGATGGATGGTACTTGGGGGAAATCTAGGAAGGGGAAGATAGGGCACATGGAGAAGGAGTCTCAGGCCCAGCATACACACAGAAAGCAGCACGGGTGAGGGGAAGGATAGCTATGGAAATCTTACAATCTTGGGGACTGCAGTGTGTTAGTAGTGAAAACTCTCTGATCTTCCCTTCAGAATCTCTGGAAAAATCTACCAAAAGCCAAATAATCAAACCTTAACTGGCTGGATTTCTTATGTAATATGCTGAAGATACCAAGGTTTATTGAGTCACTGCTGAAAAGAATCAGTACACTCAGTCCAGGGCAAGGCTTAACCTCAAAACACCTATTAAAAATGGCATTAGTTAAGAAAAAGTAAATAGCCACATGTTACCTGCATAGTCCATTTGTGTGCACCGAGACTGCCCAGAAATAAAACAATTCCAGAAGCACTAAAAAGAGCGATTGGCTGTCAACACTTACTGCGAGGACAATCTGCAGGGAACTGTGAGCCACTTCTATGTACTGGTACTCCAGAAAACACCCTGAGACCGTGATGTAGCGATGGTCTTCTGGGGCCCAGTCTGGGGCAGGTGTCACTGATGTCACCGTACATCCTGGTCCATTCTCCATCCACCAAGATCGGTGCATTGAAATATTAAAAGTCAGGATAAGGTCTGTTTCCTGCAAGAAGGCAATTTATAAGGATGAGAATTACTTTATAAATGTTAGCTTATTTGGACTGACTTGTTCTGAGTTTCCCATTTGGAAATGTGACTCCCCCTGCCTCTTACTGTATTTTACAGGTAGAAAAAAGGCATCTAAAGTAAAACTATCCATTATCCCTGAAGATTGTGTATCTATGGATTCTACTTATGAGGTTTACCTGACTATAACAATATAAATAAAAATATTTATTAGTAAAATTATCAATGACTTACACTAATTGTAAAACTGAAGAGTCCTTATCACTTAGGACTTGTAAATATTACAAAGGGTATAATTTAAACTATTGTGTCAAGTGAAATTCATCTTATTTTAAATCTATTTTCCTCTCCCTAGGAATATTCACCCTTTGCCCATTTTAAGTATTAGAGTTGTACTTCAGTTCAGCAAAAGTTAACATGTTAGGGCTAATACTAAAATTTGTAAGACCTTTACTTAATAAAACATAATACTACTTGTTTTCCTTCCCTTTCCTATTATTTTAGCAAAATTTCCCAGTCTTTTCAATCTTGTCTACTTGTACTATAAAATTAGCCAGAACATTTCTTAAGAAATATCATTAGCAACCTCTTGCAGGGTAGAGAAAATAAGCCAACAACTCTTTAGATGAAGTTCAGCATATTCATGTGAAGCTATAAATGCAATAAAAGGCATAGTTTTTGTACTTAGAGAGCTTATAATTACATATACAAACATGGAGCTATCAATAGCACATGGACAAATGTCTCCCAGGAAGAAAACAGTGAAAAGGAATGCATCAATTACATTCTATTACTCAGCAAGTCATCAGGGAAAATGAATTCTAACAGAGAGGGTCAGTGACCCATTCTCACTCCAAAATGAGGCACTAGACTGATCAGGTAGATCTTGCATAGAAAATACCTTAAATCAGATTTTGTGACCTTGAACCACTCACTTACCCTGAACATGTGAAAGGGTTGAGCTAAAGTGAACAGTGAATTTGGAGAGTAAATGGGGGATTCCTTTGGAGAGAGCTGTGCTATGAATCTCACCATCTCCATAAGGTGGTGGTGGGAGAGGGAGTCACTTTTCTTCCCTTCAAGCCTGGTTGAGAGAGGCTTCAAGCTATCCCTTGGAACCTGGGAGATGCAGCAGGCTAATTCCTGACTCAGCCCTGGTAACTCTCAAAATAAAGTCTGTGGCTGGAGCTACTTGCTAAGTGGCCAAATAAAAAGTGCCTACATTTTTTATTGCATCAATTGATTTTTGAATGTTGAACCAGTCTTTTATACCTGAGATAAATTCAACTTGGTATGGTGTGTCGCTCTCTTTGTACATTGTTCAATTCATTTTGCTAATATTTTGCTGAGAATATTTGCAACTATATTCACGAGATATTTATCTGTAGCTTTTCTTTTGTCTGTAATGTCTTTCTGCAGTTTTTCTATTAGGTCAACGTTTGCCTCATAGAATGAGTTAGGAAGTTTTCTATCTACTTCTATCTCCTGGAAGAGATTGTAGAAAATTGATATAATTTATTTATTGGTAGAATTCACCAGTGAACCCATCTAGGTCCCGTGATTTTTGTTTGGGAAAGTTATTTAATTTATTTAATAGATATTGCCCTATTCAAATTGTTATTTTTGTGTGAGTTTTTGAGATTGTGTCTTTAAAGGAATTTTTCTTTTTCATCTAGATTATCAAACTTGTGAGAATAGAGTTGTTAATAATATTCCTTCATTATCCTTTTAATGCCTTTTATAGTCATTACTATAGGGATCTATAGTAATGACTCCTCTTTCATTTCTCATACTAGTAATTTGTTTCTCTAATTTTTTCTTAGCCTAGTTAACAGCTTAGAGATTTTATTAATATTTTCAAAGAACTAGCTTTTGATATAGTTGATTTTCCCTATTGATTTCCTGTTTTCAATGTTTTATTTCGGCTCTAATTTTTATTATTTATTTTTCTTCTGCTTACTTAAGATTTAAAATGCTCTTCTTTTTCTAGTATCTTCAGGTGGAAGCTTAGGTTATTGATTTTAGATCTTTCTTCTTTTTAAATATATGCACTCAGTTCTATACATTTTCTTCTAAGCACTGCTTTCCCTGTATCCTACAAAGTATGAAATGTTGTATTTTCATTTTAATTTAGTTCAAAATAATTTTTAGTTTCTCTTGAGATTTCTTCTTTGACCCATGTGTTGTTTAGAAATGCGTTGTTTAATCTCCAGTGTTTGGGGATTTTTCATTTAACTTTCGGTTATTGATTCCTTTACATATTTTTCACAGTCCATAGCATATCTAACACTAATTTTTTAAAAGTGACCAAGAGAACTATGAGGACTCATTCAGTATTAATTTCGACATGTTCTAACACTTCAGAACCAATGAAGTCTTTTGTTCATTTGCTTGTCCTGCTGAGGACCTCTGACGTGGAATCCCACAGCCTTCTGCTTCCATCAGGCTCCATGCGCTTGATGAGTAAAACTGGACATGGGACTTCACTTACCATTATTATTTCTCTCTTATGCTGGATCCTCAGTTTCCTGGATCTGACTCAGATGACTTAACATTCCTCTCAGCTTGACTAAGCATGTTTCTCCCTAAGTGTAGGCCTCTGACTTCATTTTCCTTAGAATATTTACTTTAGAAGCTTGCAATTATAAATTCATACTCTGCTCCTTTGAGATGTAAATTTCTTTTTCTTTTTTTAAAAAAATATATCTTTATTGATTTCAGAGAGAGGAAAGACGAAGGAGAGAGAGATAGAAACATCAATGATGAGTCATTGATCGAGCCCGAAACCCGGGCATGTGCCCTGACCAGGAATCGAACCCTGATCGCCTGGATCCCAGGTCAATGCTCAACTGCTGAGCCAGGCCTGGTTGGGCAAGATGTAAATTTCTAAAATGTAGGAATGTCCTTCTCAATGTCCTGGGAGCCATCCTTTTAGAATGTAATTATCAAGAAAGCACCCCTTCTCTCAGTTCTTTTGAGTAGATAGAAGTCTACTTCTGAGAAGCGACAATTAACAAACACAGATGGTTTAATCACACCGACTAACCCCTCCCCACCCCCCAAAAAAGTTCTCTAGTACTTTTCCATTAGATCACCGGGCATTAAAAATCCTCCCAACTTTTGCTTCAGTGGAGTGGAACTGAATTTTACTCTTTTATTGCAATAGTCTTGAATAACCTCTTGAATAAAGCCCTTGCCTGTTCAACCTGGAGTTGTGCTCAGTTCTACACTGAAACCTCTCTTTCCTCCTGCAGTAGTTAAAATAAAATCTGTCTTGCCATTTTTAACAAGTGTCCAGTGTAATTTTCTCTTAACAGCTCTCATGTCTTTCTCTTACTTGATTTGCTTTCTTGTTTCCCAGAGTCCATAATTCACTAGTTTCTTAAGAATAGGTGAATGATTTTAAAACTCAAGTGTTTTCAGTCTACTTTTATATCACTTGACTGACATTTTGCCTGGATATATACTCCTTGGTTGAAAATAATTTTCTCTATAACTGAGTGGACATTTCTCCATTACTGTATCTTCTAGTTCCCAATAATACAATTAAGAAATTTATCTTTTTGTTTCCTGCAATGTTTTTATGTAACCTGTTTTATTTCTTTTGTTCTCTTGTATCTTTTTGTTATAAATAGTGATATATTTCAAAAACATCAAAAAGTGTAGAGGCCATTATAATAATATCATTATACCCACTACTGAGCCTCATTAAATCTTACACTATATTTGCTTGCAGTCATTTTTAAAATAAAATGTTGTACGTATGAATGATATCTCCACTGTATTCCTCCTGAATATTACTGCCCTCTCTCCCTCTTCACAGATAATTACTATCATGATTTTGGTATTATTATTCTCATGAAAGTTTTCTGTAGTTTTATTGAATATGTAAATATTCAGTAATGATATAAAATGTTTTTTAGGTTTTTAAATGTATATATATGCTATAACTTATTTTGGTTCCATATTATAGTTTTTAGGATTATCTATGTGGAATATCTTTTTTCAGCTTCAGGTTCTAAAATTCTGTGAGAGAGTACCTTGATGGATTTCTTTTTCATTTAGTTTGTAGAGCAACTGGAGGGTGTTTCCATCCAGGAGCCTTTTCTTTCCATTTTTAAAAATATCTTGTGTTATATCTTTAATGGTTCCCTTCCCTCTACTGTTGTTACAGGAGTTCCTGTAAGTCAGGCATTTGACTTCCAGACCTAATCTCTTACATTCTTATTTTTTTCTTTCCTATTGTTCATATTTTATATTTCTCTTTATTCTATTGGAGATTTTCTTTACCAAGTATTCCCAATCTTACATTGAACTATATCTTTAATTTTTACTATTTTGAACTCTTAAGAATTAATTATTCTTCTCTAATTATTGCTTTTGTATCAAAGTTATTTATTTTTACTACCTAAAAAGTAGATAAATAAATAATATTAAAAATAATTATCAAGGGTTCACTGTGTGCCAAAGGCAATGCTCCTACCCTTATGAGTGTTCATTTTAAGGTGGGAGAACAAATATATAAGAATACAAAAATATCTATGTAGGGATTAACATACAAAGAAAAATATATTCAAGGAAAGAAATAGAATGATGTAGAATTGGGTGGTGGGGCAAGTGTGACACTATTTTAGATACAATGGTAAGACAATATGTCTCTTATTAATTTGTATTTGAATGAGTCCAGAATGAAGTGTAGGACTGAAGAGAGCAAACGTGGGAAGAACATTCCCATCAGAAGGAACAGCTAGTGGGAACGCCCCATAGATTTTCTTTTATGTTTGTTTTCGTCTCTGACTTTATTCTTGGAACCTTTCCTTAAAAGTCTGGTGATCATTGGTTGTTGGTTTACATCAAAGAAGAGAAAGTAAAACTTGATTGGAAGCTTTTTTTAATGTATTAGTAGGGTAGTCAGCTGGTATCCTTCACATATAATGACTAGGCAGTGCCTTCTAAATGCTAGATCTGTGGGAATGT